TTCGTTGTAAGAATAACTAACAACTCTAGCATCTTTCTTCTTTGAGCTGCAGAAAAAGATCATCATGAGGTTCTTAAGGTTGAGAACAACACCACTTTGGTCCAAGTTCAAGTATATGCTTCTGGGGTTCACGCTGCTGTTGGAGCCATGGCCAAATGATACCACAACAAAGAAGCTAGAAATTTGAGGACATTTGACATGAAGAAACATGCCATCTAGGCAAGTCTGACGCTTGGCTTTTCATCTTTCTTGTTGGGTTTGCTGAGAATCAAAAATAAAGCATTAAGCATGGGATTATTTAGTGTATCAATTAGATATTAATTACTTGTTTTCTCTTTTCAGTTCACTATGTCTTTAAATTCGGGCAACAAAAAACAACCCTTTCCCTTTGCTTTCCCAGCTGGGACTATGATATATATGTTATGTACCCTTAATTCTCTGTCTTTTTTAAACTTTCAGCTGCATTTTATATTACTACTTGTATGAAAGTCTTATACCTCTAGATTGTTCTATTCTGTATGTTAAGTAATTAATCAAAGATGTTTTTTGTGCTGGATTTATCATATCATAGCTGTGCCTAGGAGAATAGAATCACATGATGAGCCTTTCTGGTTCTGTCTTTAGATTATTAAAAGTAAATACACTCCCTTATGAGATATTGGTTACACAGAATAGTGCAAAAATTTCACAAGAATGATGTTGACTTAAACTATGTGATAAAGTGACTGACGTGCTTCAAGAAACCGAAAAGAATTAATGAATAACACAAGCAGCCGGCTATTAGCTGTGTATTTTTGGTTTAAATACCATCAATGCAGATTCTTAAGCATCATACAAATAAGTCAAATATGAATATATACAGCATGCATCTACATCTTATTTCACATGTAATGAAATAATGTAATTCTTTAAAGTTCAGTAGTAGTATTGGATTGTTAAGGGAAAGGTTAAACTTTCCAAATAACTGGAAATTGAAATAATTAATACTTGAGGGATGACATATACGTGAAATATCTGCCTACATTTGCAGCTGGGCCAAAGACTTTTAAATCTATCATAATACAATTGAAGAAGTTAGCTGCAACTAAATATATCACTATGATTAATGCTATTTTTCTTTTTTCTTTTTTGACACATTTCAAAATTTCCAGTGTCCCATTTTAATAATTTGATACTTGATATTAATTACTACATACGATAAGAGTGCAATTTATTTCACATTCACTTTTTATTCAACAACCATGGCCTGCCTTTTTTTTTCCATCTTCAAATTAAGTCAGAGACATTATCTTTATCATTCTTATTATTATTATTATTATTCAAAATGTCAATTAGACAAACCAATAAAGTCGGCTAACCATATGCACAATTATGTAATGAATTCATTCAAATACGTCCGGGCGCGTCAAGAATCAATGACTATCCCTACACATCAACATAAGATTTTTCAGTGTGCTTTTTCAAATTCGTTCTGGGCTACCAAAAAGTAGATCAATCTCATTAGTATAGGTAGTACCAATTAATTTTTATAAACTATCACAAACTGTATAGTTTCATACCTGTACAGTCTTTGGAATCTCTTTCCTTCGGGCGTTGATTCGATTCATTTATGTAACGCTTGCTGGAAGTCTGTCAATAGCCGCTCCTTGTCCATGCCCTTTCGCACCGACTATCACTCCCCGCCCTTATGAGCTACACAAGGATCTCCCATTAATCTCATTACAAATTTTCATTGTAATTTTTAGTTTGACCTGACGTTAAAATATAAAGTTATATGCATAGGGGGAGAAATGTTAGGCAAAGTACTACCGTGTTTAAGCTTAAAGCCAAGTGAGTGGGAACAGATTTGTAGTTTTCTTATATAACACTTTTATTTACTTGAGGTTGAGGATAAGCATGATAATTCCCGTCAAGCCGACCCTCCATTTGTCCATTATCTACTTCGTTTTTTCTTTATTAAAATGAGTTAGTCACCATATGTCCCACACTCCCACCTGTAGGAAAGGGATGCGCAATAACAAACAAAAAAGGGGGTATGGCCCCTCAAGGCGTCAATTAACAAATTTTCATTTGCTTAATTGTGAGTCATCAAGGGCAAAATTGACTGAACAATATCCAGAATCCAATATAAGAGCAGCACCAGCTTCCAACATCGATCGAAGATTATTGCTTTTCTACCTTTTTGATATTTTACACTCATTGTTTTGACTTCAAGTGGCAAAAAATGATGTCCCTCGTGAATTTTTTCTGAGTGATGAATCATATGCATTGTCATGCCTTGTACCATTTTCAACTTAATAATTTCAACAATCAGGGCAGTTGAAAAGAAGTACAAATAATTATATAAATTGTCTCGCAAGTGCTAATTACACTATATGTATAATAAAAGAGAGATATTCTATGAATAAGGTCCTTACAAGGTTCTCTTGTGAGAATTCCACTCTACCACTTGGCACAAGTATAGCAAGTCAAGAATGCTATGAACCTATTCTAATTTCAAGTCAATAAGGTCTTTATAATAGTATAGAAGTTGGTCTTGAGTTAGGTTGTGTTGGTCACGGATGAACGGTGAATTAAATTTATCAAAAAATTTGTAATTTAAAAACACACAACTGAGATACAATAAAAGAAAGAAGTGACACAATTATTTTAACATGGAAAAATCTTCAATTGGAGGGGAAAAAACCACTACCCCAATTTGTATACCTCTATTCAATTTGGAGACAAATTCACTATCAATCAATTTAAAATACAAGAATAGACCTTATTCTATCTTTATACAAGAATTAACCTAAAACTTTATCCAAGATTTCCGGAACCCTACCCCTAGGATTTTCACGGAGTCCAATCAAAGACTCTCCCAAGCCAAACGGCTCTCGTCTTTATAAAGACCAACTTATTTTTAAGTCGTGACCTTTTCCAAGATCAAGAAGAACGGAGTTCAATCAAAGACTCTCCGAAACCAAACAGCTCCCGTCTCTATTCACAATGAATAAAGATCGACTTATTTCTAAGCCACGACTTTTTCCAAGGTGAAGTAGAAAATCCAATTAAAATTGGTTACCTTATACGCTTCTAAATAATAAGCAAATAGCTACAAATAAAATCTAAGTTGAGGACTTAATGAATCTGCTCATGTCTTGTTTGCCAAATAATTTTGAATGCACCTTAGGAAGAAATACTCATAATATACTCAATTCGTTTTTTTCTCATGAGTGCTCAAAAGCATTTTTCTCTTGAATGCTCACCCACACACACTTTGAACAAGGACTCAAGGTATAATATTTATAGACTTTTTTCCAAAATCAAATCCTAAGAAAAAATCTCAAGATTATCATGATTTTTAAGAAAACTTTCCAAAATATCCTTTTGAATATAAAATCAAAATCTTCAAATTAACTTTCCAAAAATAGATAAAATCAAATCAAGTCTTTTAAAAAAAATAAAATCTCAAATTAACTTTTTCTTTTTCAAATCAAATATTAAAAATCTATTTGGATTAAAAATAAAACTTTTAAATCTTCTTTCCTTAATTTCCAAAACTTTAAAGATTCGTACCTAAGGCATGATTAAGATTCACCTCATCCAACCAACATGAAATCTAAGATTTTATATTGCAACTTTGATCTTCACAATTTCATGACAATTGTGTTGCATTATCTTTATCACAATTCATCACAAACTAAGTCCTATAACAAATTTTAAAAAACTAAACAAACTGTTAAATACTTTGGCATCATTTATTTGTTATCATCAAAACTAAACAAAATCAAAATGTGGGATCCAACACGCTGTGCTTTGTCGGAGTTATAATAGATAAGCCACACAAAATAAGTTTATGTAATGTTTGCCTATTTAAGGATGTAAAATGTCATTTTTCCTTCTAAGCTACCTATTTTTGCCAAGCATAGCCTTTTTCACATCTATAGTAGGGGAGAGTGGGAAAAAAGGTTTCAAGAAATTCTCAGCTACAGCAAAAAAAAGGAATATGTAAATTACCAAAGTTTATACAAAATAGAAACTTTTCTCAAATCCCTGATAATATCCTGCATTCATGTGAGTAATTCCCATCTCGCATAGAAGTGGATCCCACACCGAAGATATGAACCAAAAGAAAATTATACTGAAAGACACCAATTGGTTCTCTTTATTGAGAAAAGTAGAGATGAAAAGGAAGGGTATGACAAAAGATTAACTTTATATCTTCCTTTTTTATTGTCTAAGATATGGATTAAACAAAAGGTTCCTGCTTGTAACCAACACGCACCACTCAATCACTCATTGCCTGGTCAAGGCTAAAGTAGTGCCATCAAAGCTATGATTAGATAATACCATGGCATTTAGTGAAGTACTACTGTGATCGGATTTGGATTTTCAAAAATGAAAAATTAATCATACGATCATGTTATTTGATTATAATTACTTATTGATGATGAGATAAGAAAAAAAATACATATAACTTTTTTTTTTTTGGTGAAAAAAAATATATAATTTTTAAATAAGTAATTATGATCAAATAACATAATCACATGATCACATTTTCACGTAAAAGAATCCAAATTAAAAAAACTAAGCTTATTATTGCAGGTGAGCAAAACAGCAAATTGTGACAATTATGTCAGTGGCATTCTCTCCATTGTCCTCACGAAAATGAGGATTAAAAAATAAATTACATTTCGCATTAATCACAATTGTTCCTGCTTTTACCGACAATTCTGACAACCATTTTACATCTATCAGCCAAGCACGTCCTTAGAAAAACACGTTTGCAAATCAATTCAATTGGCACAAGTAAATTGAACAAGTAAAGATAAGAACATGTATTTAATTTTCTTTAAAATTGTCAGAAATTTAAAATTTTAATCCTAAAATCTATTTCAAATCAGACTAGTCACGAAGCAATGAATCGATTGGAATATCTCAAAAAAGAAAAAAAAAATACACGTTTGACTCATTAGAGACTCAATTGTAAATTCAATGGAGCAACGTTACCTTTTAAAAGAACAATAATAATGTTACAATGGAAACACTCGGGATGTGAGACAAAATTTTTAATATTACATTTGCCCCTAGAACAACGCTAAACGTTAGCTGAATACAACAATAACAACCACCAAGTCTCAGCATGTGAGATAGGTTAGACAAATCAAATGTCATTGAGTTTTATCAAAATCTAAATTTCAGTAGTTTGTCCTAAAGTTTTCTTCGGCCTAATGTCATGCTTTGTTGCCAATCTTTGCATAACCAGTCCAAGCCCGGATGAAAGGTGAGGGTTGTATATGGCAACTTATCCCAATTCTTATATGGATCAAGGACGCATATTTTAATGAAATAAAGGTAAATAGAACAATAATCTACCGTAGTTTAAGCCAGTTTCAAGATTTTAATCAACATGAGGAACAGAAGCTCCCATCTCGTGCAACATCCCACTCTTCAAGGCCTTTCAGAAATGATCTGATAGCAAGATGTTCAGAAGCGTATGTCATGAAAGACGTTAATATCACGCCCCCAACAATCATCAAACCTAACCTGTTAGAAATATAAATCAAAATATAAGTGTAAATTCGAAGAAAAAGATTTCACAAATGATGATTTTTTTTCATAAAATTTAAATTAAAAAAATACTTAGAAATATAGTTAAATCCACTTCAAGATAAATGCATACCAAACAAGGGAAGATTATTTTGGTAGATTCCATTAAATTTCAATTTCATGCAAACTAGTGCTGGTATTCTATGCGCTGTAAATAAGCGACAAAAAGCACCCCGCTAGTGACACTACAATAGAAGACAGACAAAGAAAAACCATCCTGTCACAAATGAATTGCTCTGTTCAGAAATACATACTATCTGTTTACTGTTTAGTATTTACTTTGCTCCCTCCTCCCTCTCCCTTAAAAAGTGCAAGAAAACAACAGCAAACAAAGCTATTAAAGCCCCTAATTGTTTCCAGACCACCAGTTTAGTTGAATCTGGTAGAAGAGCTTAATTAAGATGTGAGCCAAAAAAAAAGCAAAGAAAGACCAATTAAATGGTCAATAACCTTTACAGTTAACGGTTGCTCCTCCCATTTCTTAACCTGGGTAATGGATGAAATCACAGCTTGAAAGCCTATCAGATGGACATGATTCCAAGTTACCACTCAAAAGAGATAAACCGGAGATTGTAGGTTCTTTTGAATTTGAAATTTGAAATCACAGGCAACTGTGCATGTTTCAATGTGATATATTTACTAATAAATTGTAATGAAAATTACCGTAAAAACAAAGCAGTAATTCCAAAAAGACAAGGCAAAGATGGAGCAACAATGGCCAAGAAGGCCATCCCTAATCCGTAGTACCATGTAGCACCATCACAAGAAGGTATCTGTCGCTGATGGCCTGTGAATACAGATGAGATAAAATTAATGATGACAATTAGGAAAAAAAAAAAGACTAAGGATCTTGAGGACACAATTAAATGAAAGACAAAAACCCCAAATAAGCTCTACTCCTGGAGAACATACGTTTTCCCGAATCATCATCAGAAGATCCATGATGAGACAATGAAGGTGCTTGTGACGCCATGATCTTTCCCCAATGGTAAATCAAATTGAGATAACCTCCAAATAATATGAAGAAGATTGTGAATGTCCATTCATACATCAAAAGCAAACCAGTCCATGGAGTCACTTGCCGAGGTACTGTCAAGAGAGCTAATCCAAGAGACACCACTGCAGTCATAAAACAGACACAGACAGAAATACCGCCCAAATATGCAGGCACCTTATACTGAGCACCATTTAAGAGCTGTTTACAGAATAATTTTGGAATGTTAAAAATATACAAGCAGTATGCATATCCAAATATAGGATTTGGATCCTCTCTCTTGAGGCCATCACATGACCCAGTCATTTGATGAGAAAGATACACAATGTTGAGCTCAAGAACTTTTTGTGCCTCTACATAGGGCATTGTGTCCATCTCTCATCAAATTAATTGGTCATACGAGGGCCTCACATGAGAGGATCCAAATCTCCAAACAAGACAGAGAAGTACAAACTGACCTGATGGGTGGAATTAATAGTTGACGTAGAAATGTTAGTATATGCAAGTGGCCCACCTGATTTAATCCTATAATAAAGGTGTCTGACATGATCACATAGTGAGCTTCTACAACAGGAACCGTAGTACCCTTGATTCTGCCAAAAATACAATGTTATGAGTCTCATGTGAATTCATAGTGCTTGGAGAATGATATCAATCCATGATAGCTGACCTTCAGAAACGAACGATAGCAACAGAAGAGCACAGCACAAAATGGTAACAGAATAAGAAACTTCACAAGAAAATCATCTTTAGGATTTCGGCCGCCTCCAGTTCCAGGAAGGGATTCCTCCAGCTGATCCCTTACATTCTGCAGCCTCAACAAGGTAAGAACAAATAAGTCGACATATTTTTATCACAAACTTCAACTTGAAGAGATGACTACTTAAGCAATATGGCCTTTTAAAAATCAATAGAAGACAAATTTTTGAGATATTGCCAAATAGGATAATAAGTTGCACAAATACCTGCCAGACATCAACAGGTTTCAAAAGCCAAGATGTCCACCAGTCCCAAGGCTTAAGAGGACCCAGTGTATAATGAATCACACGGAGTTCGTTCTCATCTACCATCCACTGGATAAATCACCATGAATGGTAAGATAATCGAACCATAATATGCAATGTAAAGGAACACTACATTTAAATGCAGATATTAGGTATGTGTGCAAGAGTATGCAAAAAATATTTTCGTAACTTATTCAGCCTAGGTGGAAAGAAAAAAATTCACAAGAATCTGAATTGCTCAATTCTTATTAAAATCATGTTCATCCACCTCACACCATTCTAAAAATCAGCTAGAACATTTCAAATTGATTGAAAGGCAAAGGTTTCCTACAGACCACGCATGCCCAAAACCCAGTTTCTAGAAGGAAGTAAAGCAAGATCAAAATGTTTCGATGATGGAAAATTTTGAGGCTTTCCTCCTGTACCTTATATAACCAGATCAACAAGTGCTGATTCTAACTGCTATAATTTCCATGTTGCTAACAGTAAAATTCCAATCCAATAGCAGCACTAAATAATATCTTTATCATTATTAACATAGGTCACTGCAATGCCATAACTAGTAAAGAGCTGCTTCTTCACTTACTCCAATTTCTACCATAAGCTCCTAAAACAACAAAAGAAATTCATCTCAACACAAATGAAGAATACTCCGTTATTTAGTGGCGGCAGTTTCTGTCAGGCGGGTCCAAAGGGAAGCCCGTGGCGGGGGACCACCACCAATGAGCTAAGGCTACCACCAATAGACTAAGTTACTCCAAGTACACCAAGTGGATCCGACACCACATCTCAACCCAAAACCTTAAGGCATTGGGTTCATGGGTCCTACATGCAATTGTTGAGAAAGGTTTATTGAATTCTTCCTTTAACCTATTCAGAAAGGCTTTAATTTTTTAACACTTCAATTTAAAATAATAACATTTTATTCCAATGATCACAAATATTACCTGTTGAAAAGACAGTAGATGTTAAACTAATTGCACCATATGTACTGGAACATTAATTATTAAACATCAATATGCGAACATGTAGAACTCTTACAGACAAGTTAGACATTAATCATATAAGGCAACTGGATCTAACGGACATCCATCTGAACTCAAAACTCAAATAAGGATATCAAGCATAATTAAGTTAAAAAGGGAAGAAACAAAAAAGGTGGACGTATCTTTCATGTATTGCCCCTACTTACTTAAAAGGAAAGAACCATCCTCTTATTACCTATATTCCAGTACCTTGTTAGCAAGCATGTAAAGACCAACATCTGCATTATAAAGTGTGGAAAGTCGCTCCATTTCAGGAACTGGTCTAGTATCCAACACTTCAGGGGTCAAGTTTGGCTCAAAAATATGTGCATTGGGAAATCCAGAATAATATGAATTAAGAAACCCCTGATCCCCTGTGAAAGTGAGAAGATGGATGAAGCCAATTGTTCAAACCTATCAGGTTCAAATCCACATCTAATACAAGATGCTTCAAACAAGGAAATTAGAATAATATCATTTAAAACTAGCACACAAAAATCACTATACCTCCAGTGTAAGATGGCAGAGTGTTGACTTTGCTCATCATGTCGTTAAAAACAGTTGTAGATGGCTGCAACACCATGACTCCAGAATTCAACCTCTCAGAATGTTTTAAATTAGCACAGAATTTTCCACATTTGAAGAGTTCTTCAATATTTTTAACCACAATAGTATCAGCATCGAGATAAACAACTGTATATACATCAAGACAGCCAACAAATTATACTGTGTAAATCTGAGGAGTTACATTCCATTTAAAAGCCAATAACATAAATGGAAATTTAGAGTGCCCTCCATCATTTCTATGATTAGATACAATAAACTAGCAAAAAACATAAATAATTAACCTTTCTTGTAGTCAGTCATGTTAAATATTTTCAGCTTTGTATAGACACCCCAAAATCTCTTTGGACGTACTTGATTAGGATTTGCCAGTAAACTAATCTTCTCCACTATCCAACCGTCAGCCTAAACACATAAAAAAGAGTTTAAAAATTATAAAAACATTAGAATTACCAAAATTTGTGATTCATGTCAAGTGAAACATAAACTTCAGAACTTTAATGTAAAATGTTTTTTATACAAAGAAACAGTCTCCAAAATCCTGAGGAGCGAATTTCATCTCTCGTTCGAGAATGATGACATCAATGCAATTAGCAAACAAAATACAAATATGAGAACGTACCCTTAGAAGGTTATTGGTATAATCAGAGACACCGTCTGAGACCAAAACCACCATATCCTTGTTGGATCCAGTGTCCCGAATCGATTTTCCCAGAACTCTAACGCCCAACAAGAATTCATCTCCGTACAATAGAGTCACATACGCCACATCCGTCCTCTGAGATCCCAAAGAAGCTTCTGATTGAACAGAAACTAACAAAATTATCAACCATAACCATGTACTATTATTGTATGATTTCATTGTAAACTCTTTTCACGAGGTGAAATCTCTCTCTCTCTCTCTCTCTCTCTCTCTCGAAAATAATCCCTTTTCGATGCTGCACTGCAAGTTCAAACGGTTCAAGGGATTTGAATTTTCACTGTGGTCTCTGAACGCTGAACCTTCCCTTTGAGGCTGCCCTGCAAAAAATTATAAGATGAAGGAGTAAATCATAATTCGTTTATTGAAAGCATAAATAAATGCGGGGGATTAATTTTCTCATTTCATGAGAATAATTTCTTATTTCTCATGTTACACACAATACATGTCCAAAAATATGAGAAAACAAAAAAATTAATATGGGTCTCACCTTTTAATTGTGAGTGTAACTTGAAAAATTTTCTCACATAGAATAAAAAAACTATTTCCCATAAATGTGACTCATGTTACATTAATTGTAAGAGAAATGTGGCAATAAAAAGAAGAAATGAAATTAAAATGTTTTTACGGTTTATTTTTCATCAAATTTATTAAGTTATATTCATTAATTTATTATTAATTTTAATAAATTATAATCATTGGAGTGACAAAAATCACCGATACGGAAGACATCAAAACCTCGTGTATTTGAAGAAATCAATCTGAATAACTCGTCTATATGCACGATGGTTAAAAAGCGCAGCATGAGTCCACCCTCATGTAATTTTTTTTTCTTAAAAAAAATATTTTAAATATTAGATTATGGCTTGATTGGTGTATGTGAATGACTATTCTATGGGTACCGGCCACACTTTGCTTGTATATTCATGAGAATGCATAGTGTAATCCGTACATTGCACTTTGCATTACCCAGAATGCATAGACAAACTCAATATTGCTCGCTATATTGAAGAAATTTGTGTACTATAGTAATAATATTGACGAAAAATTTTGAGTAAATTATTAACTTTATTAAGTGGGACCACAAGTATTTGAAAATGATAATAACTCACTTTACTTGATAACCAAAATTATTAACTTTTGGCCATTGAGCAGTTAGATATTTTCATGAACCACTTCGTCGTCATGGTTAACTTCCTCCCCACGTTAAAACTTCACTGGTACGGAGAACATCAAAGCCTCGTGTATTTAAAATCACCAACCCAAATAACTCGCCTATATGGGCCGTGGGTTAAAATGGGTTAAAAAGGGCGGCACAGGTCCACCCTCATGTAATTTTTTTTTTAAAAAAGTATTTTAAATGTTAAATTATTACTTGATTAGTGAATATGAACAATTGTTGTATGAATATCGGCTATAATTTGCCTATGTATTCCCGGAATACATAGTATAATCCATATATGTTTCTAATTTCTAAATCCAGGGAGCGTTTGGTAGAGGAATTTTTTTTTTTTATCCGAGAATCTTAATTTTTAAAAATATGATTTTTACATTCAGTTTATGATAATATCTGAAAATTTAAAATTTAAAAAAATTCAATTTTCCGAAAATCCTGAAGAATATTGCATACCAAACGGGCCTTAACTTTTTCTTTCTCTACTTTTCTCATGGTCCAGTCCAATCCACTCCCCCCTTGTATTTCCAAGAATAAACGAGTTAATTGGATTGGGCCGTTCTTACTAATATTTGTTGGACTTTTTCATGGGTGAAGTTTGTTGGGCTATTTTTAACAAGTATTTTCAACAAGTCTTTAGAAATTATAAAACAGTTTCGTAAAATGATAAATAAAAAAATTTAAAAGTAGAAAGTCATTTTGACCGACTATAACTATATATTTGTGTGCAATGCATGATAATCAAAAATAAAACGCACAGAATTTTGATTATTTGAAAGAAAGAAAATAAGCACGCGAAGGGAAATTGCAAAGAGCTCGATTTGGTTGGCCTCCTCACACTTTGAAAAATACCAAAGGTTGTTTTATGATTAAATTATAATTGTTATGCAATTTTTGGCTTCCCAGAGTTCAAACAACGAGATAGTTTTCGAAGAAAACAAATCAAAATGATTTTTCAAGTCATTGAAGATCTGTCGGTGAGTGGTGGTGACCTTTCTCCACCATTCAAGAACTCCTACGAACTCTATATTGTAAGATAAAATAATGTATAGTTTTTTCTTTCAAAAAATGAAAAGGAATAAAGCGTACAAAGGATATGAACTAATCAGTGTCATACTCATAGGCAGAATATATACTTTGCCGAATACACCCATAAAATACTTATGTGGAGAATGGACTCTGCACAAAGTTTAAATTTGTCAATACTCAATAAGTTTTTATTATGTTTGTTTGGAAGCGATTGTCTTGAATCAACGTCTCGTGACAATTTTGGATGTATTTAAATATTATTTATCATTTTTTTAATTATGTGCAATTAATGAATATGCATATATATGTTAGTTCATTAAAAAAAATTGATCTGGTGTTGGTTTAATAAAAATGTCATATATATTCTCGATGATATTCTTATAATTAAGGTTTGATTATCAAACTATAATAATCATGATTATTTATACAATGGTAATGAGATAATTGATGATTATTTATATAATGGTAATGAGCTGATTGTGTAGCAAAGCTAGTTCTGTATCCTTTGATGGGTGAAATATATTACTATGGGACTATGGGAGTGTTCTTAGACATAGTAGTATATGAACCAAAGCTTTTGTAGGAGTTCGCCTGTATGTATCTCAGAGAAAGCTAAGAGCAGAGAAATGTGTAGGAGCATTGTGGCTCGATATTTCAGCAAAATAATAGCTCAATAAATGAAAGATGTCTCTTCAATGGGTGAAAATGGGTATACATAGCTGAAAAATATTTCTTAATAAAATAAAAGAGTCATAAATGTTTGCTCGTTACCTCAACTCTATGAGTAAGGAAATACACCACTAACGTGTACTATAATGTGGTGAGTTGTGGAATGAGTGAGAAATCCTCTACAATGAGGTCCATGATTTTCACTATAGAAAGACAAAAGAATGGTCCCTTAATCTAGAGCATATATCTACTACGTACGTGACTGAAATTATCTGAATACATTAACTATCAAATTTTCACAATAATACAAATAGTTCAAATATTAATATTCTTTAGATCAATTATACATTTCAATAAATAAAAAATATTTTATCATGAAAGTATTAAAATATTTCACTTAATATATGCTTGGAATTGGGTTTAGAAGAAGATAAGATTCATAAAAAAATTTAACTTATAAATAACTTCTAGCTTAAAAGAGAGAGAATTCAAACAGACATAAGTCAAGCCGCATCAAGACACTAAGCTCTTGCTTCATATCCTCGTGTTTAAATAGACCTTATTATTGTATGTATGCACTTCCTCTTCTCCTTCTTATTTTCTCTCTCTTTTATTTATTTTTACTAGAAAGTTGTTAGAAGCAAGAACTTTAGTTTCTCAAAATATGAATTGGAAGGTGCGTATATGGATTTTGAGTCATGAGGTTGATTAGAGACATGTCTTTTAGAAATGATCGAAGGAGAAATACCATCCACTATGGGATACCTGTCTTTCGCTGAGTGCTTGCCATCTGTGGCCATAAGTACTACTGAAATGAACAAGGCAAGTAAGTAAAGTGAAGTGACGAAGTTTACATTCGGCAAGTCTGGTTCTTGGCTCTTTTTTATTTAGTCTTCATGTTCTTTGTCTGCACAACATATATATGACAAAGTGACAATATGTAGAACTATCATTTCGTATTTGATACCAAAGTTTGTAAGATCCCCCAACTTTTCAATAATAAATATCTCAATTTTTAGGCCTTATTTATGGTGTGCTGAGGTTAATTTTTATTTCTTTGTTAGGCCAAGTTGGTTTCATTTATCTAATTAAATACTTTTTAGTGATCATAAGTACTTTTGTTTTATCTCTGCTTAATTTCATTGCAATTGCACCCTCGGAAAAAAAAAGTTTTCAGCATCCTGCATATGAAGTAAGTATAAAAGGGCCATTAAAGGGGAAAAAAAAAAAGGAAGAAAAGATAATGACCAGCTCTATAATCTTCATTCCTATTCGGAATACCTGTCTATCGGCGCCTAACTGAATGTAGAGACAGGCAATTGGATCTCTATCATGATAGAATGTGTTGCGTTATTTACACAAAAATATGAATAAATAAATAAAGAGAAAAATGTTTCTGCAGTTAATGCAGATAAATTATTTACATTTATTTCCAAAACGACGACGTTTTGGTGTTAAAATCTTAAAAAATTATAAATATAAAGACTATTATAACTCTGAAATAAATTAAAATTACAAAAACACCATGATTTTCGCTCCAAAACGACGTCGTATTGACTTACTGCAGATAACGGCAGAAAAAACGAACCCATAAATAAAATAAGTTTTACAAGAAATTATTTAACCAACCAACTTTTATCTTTTTAGTTTTTCCATGTTGTTACGTCATCAAATGTGAAGTTTATGGAAAATGGAATATTTTATATATGTGAGGATTTTATATAATGTGACGTGAAAATTTTGTATAATTTTTTTATAAATGTTAAATAAATAGGATTTTAAAAAAATTTATGAATATTAATGAGGAGAGAAATAGAAATAAAATTTTAATTATAAAATCATATTAAAAATTAATATGAGGAAACCATTTTCTATATAATTCTTCTATTTTCAAGTTATTTTCGTAGTAAAAGAGGGCGTACATCATGTATGATAGAGTCTTGACAATATTATTATCTACTCATATATATCCTTTAATTTTAACTTTATACATATAATTTTGTACTCTTTTTATTAGATCTTCACTGATTCATCGATTAATCAATTAATCCGGATGAGACGAATATAATTACGGGAGCGAGAAAGTTTTTTCTATTAATTTTTTTTTTTTTTTTGAAAATATTTCTATTAAATTTTTAAGAGCGTACTTAGGACTCAAATTTAAATTTACTGATTAAAGTGGAACAGCCGGCGCAAATCTTGTATTCTTGTATACTTAATTAGTTAATTTCTCTTCCCTATCCAAAGCTATGATTTAAAATCATATTATTAATTATTTACTGTCACCTTGTTTGCTAATATGGATAAGCACGCCACCGTTATTCTATTTTTTTTTTTAAAAAAAACTATGCCATGTCCTTCTAATTAAATTAAACATATATACGGGCATAAAAAGATTAATTAGCATTAATTAGAAGTCCAGGACCACATTAACAGAGAAGGCTATCTGGTCGCTTCATCTTAATTTTAGCTA